CGCGCCTCAAGATGATTTGTTCTGATGTATGCAAAGCCCCCCACCCTCTCCAAAAAGTGTACTTAAGCTCTGCTTGACCTCTGCTCTGGGCTCTGGGCTGCTCTCCCTTCCTGAGTGAGCCTTGAGCCCCAGCATGCTGGTTCAATAAAACTTCCCCCTGCAATTGCATGAGGCTGGTCTCTTGTGTGGTCTCTCCCTCCGACGCTCCGCCGGACCCTTACAACAGTGGGATCTCGTGTCCCTGTTTAACGGGCAAACATCAGAAACCTAGACAACGCCAGCTGGCGGGGTGGGGGACCAGGATCCCCAGGCACTGCAGAGGCAGGAGGGTCCAGTGAGCGTGGCCGCCGACAGAGAAGCCGCCATGGCTGGGGGGTCCTGCTCCCGGGACTTATCCCAGAGAAAGGTTCTCAAGGGGGAGAAGGGACACCACCCGCCATGTGTGCAGCATCGTCCATGTGGCCCAGCCCATGGCTGGAGTTGTCCCAAAAGCACAGACAACGGAATTCCATTAAGGGACAGTCCGGAGGTAGGGCTGGTGCCATTCCAAAGACAGAAGCACTCAGGTCAGGGTGACATTTACCAGGGGACTGCAATGGTTTGGGAAAGGACGGAGGGTCCTCCAAGGGTCCCCACTGTGGGGAATTCAGAGGGTGGGAACTTAATTGACCATGGTGTCTAGAGGCAGGGACTGTGAAAGTGATTAGGATTCCGTAGGATCACCAGGTGAGGTCCCCAGGGTGGCATTCTGGTGGCTTGCCCTCCCAGATTTTGAAGTGCGATGCCCTTGGCCATCTTGGGATTCTGCCCTCGTGACACCTGTTCATGACACGTGAGCCCTTGAACCTCCAGAGCTGTGAGAGAAATAAACCCCTTTTCTTTATAAAATTGCCAGCCCCAGGTACTTCATCACAGAGACACCTCACAGACAGGGGCGCCTGTGTCCTGGGGGGCCACGGAAGCAGGCCTTCTACCCAGGCATGTCTGCACCTGGGGTCGGGCCTGGAGTTTCCCAGAGGGTTGAAGGAAGCTGGCTCAGGCCTGGGGCTGGTGCCTGCGTGATTGATGACATGTTTGATCATTCAGTGCTTCAGGCAACCACCCAAACAGCTTCATACGGGCGTCTGGGAAAGTTCAAGGCCCCGGCTGGGGCTCAAGCCCAGGGAAAACAGGGCTCTCTGTTTCTCAATCAGGACAAAGAAAAGTGGAATGAGATGGGGGCCCTACCCTGGGCCACCATCCCTGGAAGGATTAAGGAGAAATTCGTGTGGATTCACACAATAGTATGGATGGGTTCTTAAACCCACAGCTCTTAGCAAAAATAGAAGAAACAGAAAGATGTAAAAACATGATATCACTTACAGACATTACAAATCCCACCAGGCAAAACAATGCTCATTTTRGAAAAAGAGCAATATCAGAATGATTGTAGAGAGACAGGCACAGTAGCCACAACTGTGATCCCAGTGACTCAGGAGGCTGAGGCAGGAGGATTTCGAGTTCAAGGCCAGCCTCAGTGACTTAGTGAGATTCTGTCTCAAAATGAAATAAAAAGGGCTGGGGACGTAGCTCAGTGGTAGAGCACCCCTGGGTTCAATCCCCAGGACCACAAGAATAAAAAGATGTTGCTTGTATAGGATGGGGGAGGAGAGTGGATAGATAGGAAAGTAAAAGGAATGAGATGACGTGGGAAAAACAGGAAATGAAGGCTGCCTTCCCTTCTGCCAGCCTGACATGTCCCCTGATCTCCATTACCCTCTTCCTTTCCTGCCTTCACCCCATGCAAATCCCCCTCAGGTATGTCACCGTCACTGTGTACCAAGACCAGCACTCAGAGGTACATAGGATAGTCGTGAGCTCCCCTCCCCTCACCCCTGCCTCATCTGGCCTTTGCTAGAGTGTGAATCTGGAGGCTCCCCAGAGGCCCCTGTGTTGAAGGTGTGGTCCCAGCCAGTGTGTACTATTGGGAGGGGTTGGAACCTTCCAGAGATGGGGCCTGATCGAGGTCTTAGGTCATTGGGGGTGTGTCCTGAAAGGAATTGTGGGGCCCTGGTCTCTTCCTCTTTCTCTTTTGTTTCCCAACCATGGGGTGAACAGGCTGTCCTCTGCCATACATCCCCACCGTGATGTATGGTGCCACCACAGACCCCAGAACAACAGGGCCAACTGACCACGGGCAGAAATAGCCCAAATCCCAAGACCAAAGAAGTATTTTCTCTTTTGAARTTAATTATTTCAGGTATTTTGATACAGTAACAGAAAACTGACTAATACAGCATACAGATATTATTTTTATGGCTGCATAATAGTCCAGCCAGAAAAGGGGAAATCATTCTTTTTTACTGAGAAGTGAGAGATTCTTAAGTTTCCACTGATAGCATCACTATACAACTTTAGCAGGATATTGATAGGATTTCTCTGGACTTTCTCTCAGCCCCACATAGGGTGATATTATGAATTTCATGGGTCCCTTTCTCCAAAAACAAAAGAGCAAAACTTGTATTTTATGACTGCATTGGCTCAAAGATAAGTATAACCCAGGGTGAATGCATAATCATAATTATATATTCMTTATTATTCCAGGTGTTTTTTTTTTTTCCTTCTGATTTGCATGCGTGGGGCTGGGGATTGAACTCGGGGCCTTGCAAAGGCTAGACAAGTGCTTTATCGATGGGCTACAAACCCAGACCCTCTTCTGAATTTTTGAAGAAATGCAAATTAAAAATTGTTATGGGCTTCTAATTAAACAGATGAGCTTTTCTTGTCCCAGGAGATAATCCACTAAATCAGAGACCCAGTCTGAGACCTGGTCCTAGAACCCGGGACTCGGGTAGCACGGCTCTGTGGCCCCACAGGAGCAGCCGCCCCAGGCCCACACTGGCGAAGGCCACAGTCCCCCTGTGGTGGAATAGAGGACGTCTGACAAATGTTTAACAATTGGCTTCCTGGGAGAAACAGCCCTGGTCTGTAGCATTTACCAATTTCCAGGGTGTAAACAACCCCACAGCCAGTTGAAAGCTATTGCCTGACATCACTGAGCAGAAGTTAGGAAGAGACGCAAATTAGTTCACTATTATGCAGTTTTTCCCTTGTACAGAAACAATAACCGTAAACCACCTCAAGAACACAGATAAATGTGAAATAGAGGAAAATAATTAGGGGATGATGGGTTTTATGTATTTATTACTTTGCAAAGTTCCTTGTAGGTTTTTATTACTGTATTTTTAATAAATGTTTAAAGAGCCGTTTGACGATGGGCTCATAAAGATTTCTAAAGCTCTTGCCCACTGGTATCTGCTCTACCAGCAGCACCATGGCTGACACACGGGGCAACCCCAGAAGACTACATTTCCCAGAAGGCCCCTCTTCCAGGACCTGCCCTCAGCAGTTACCACGGAGACCACTAACAGTAAGGCTTCCCTGCTGACAGGGTAAGGAGGGAGCAGGGTGCCAGAGGTGGCTGCACCCTTCCTGGCTGGGAGAAAAGGGACATGGGGTAAAAGGCTTCTTCTGCCTGGGGCCCTCTGGCCTTGGTCTTTCTGGGGAAGTTTTGGGGGGTATGTGTGTGTTTGGAGGGAGGGAGAGGTTGCTGCTGGGGATGGGGTGCAGGGAAGGGCCTGCCTTTGAAGCAGCCCTGCCCTCCTCACCCTGGGCTGCAGCTGAGGGCTGGCTCATGAGGCCCTGAAATGCATGGGTTTCAGAGCCAGAAATATGTGGGTTCAAATCCCAGATCTGGCACTTCTGGTTGTGACCTTGTGCAATTCCACTTAGTCTCCCTAAGCCTCGGTCTTGCCATCTGCAGAGTGGGTCTCAGAAGAGTGTCTGCCTCAAGGTGTCATTTGAGAATAAATGAGATTGTTTCCATGCAACCCTTAGCCCAGGGCCTGGTACTCAAGAGGGGTTCAGTAAGTGCCTACCCTGGGCTCATCCGCTCTGTCCCCAAGAGGCAGACAAATGAATCTGATGACCTTGCCATGCTGCTCGACTGGAGGTTTCTCCCTAGAGAACTGGGGTCCTGACAGGCCTGCTGGACAYGAGGCGTCAGCTCGGCTGACCCACCGGGGGCTCAGGCAGGACACCCTCAGCATTCAGGCCTTGCTGAGTCCAGGGACACAGAATGTCAGGATGGGATGGAAAATTCTATCCATCTCCCCTTTTTATTGCAGAGGGGAAACCAAGGTCCAGAAAGGGGCAGGGAGTGGCCCAAGGGCTCAGCAGGGGCTGCTGGCAGGCTCAGTCCTGGCTGGCAGCCAGTGACTGTCCTCCCCAGGAGGCCCGGGTGACCTGGGGTGCAGAGTGGGGGGGGGGCGGCCTTCACCTCCAGGTCCCCTGTCCGTGGCGGTGCTGGGATGGAATCCAGAGCCGCGCGTGCTAGGCAAGGCTCTCCCGCTCAGCCACGTCTCCATCCCACCCTCCTGGTCCCTTTTGTCCTGTCTGTCTTGGCTCTGCTCCAGGGGGTGAGGACAAATCTGGGGGACCCCACTCTCAGTCCTCCCGACTCCCTGGCCCCTCGCCTTTCCAGTGGGCTGGGTCTGTTTTCCTGTGGCCTGGACCTGTGCCCTGTTTGCTGTAAAGGGGAGCAGGTCTTAGAGGTGGGTGGTGGAAAGGCCTGGGCTGGGAGGTGGGGGACTGGTGGGTCAGCAGGGGTGGCATCGGGTGGCCTGTGACCAGGACCACCACAGAGGCTGAGTTTCCACAGGCACTGGGGTCTGAGGTGGCACTCAGGACTCTGCAGCATCTCTGGGGCCCCCCGCTCACCTGTCTCCTCTCGGCCGTCCTTAGCGGGCAGCCTTGGCCCTCACGTGGGTCACTCATGGCCATGGGCTGGCCCTCACCCCCTGCTCCACACGCAGGTGCCAGGCAGAGAGTGGGGAGAGGACCACGGTCTGCGCTCACTGGGCCCTTTACCCTCTCCCTCAGCACTTCTGCCCCCACCTCCCTGTCCAGAACTGGGTCACACCCAGGCCACCGATGGCTGCAAGAGAGTCTGGGAAGCTGGACCTTTCCAACCAGCCCGGTCCTGCCATTGGAAGCTGGGACTGGGTCTTTGGAGAGTGACCAGCAGTCCACAGGAGCCCCAGGCCAGGCTCTCCTGGGGCAGCTGGGCATGTGTGGCCCCTCAGTGTGGGTAACAGGATGATTGTCCTCTGGGTCGCGTTACCCGCTGACCTTAGGTGGCAGCCCTGCCCTGGAACTCTTGGTGCCTGGGTTTCCAGTTTGATGAGACGAAGCCTTGTTCACTTGCTGCCTTTCTGTTTGGTCCTAGTCTCTGTCACCTTCCTATCATGACTTGTGTTTAAGCCAACTCACTTATTGGATTTTGCGAATATCTATTTAAATGGGAAACGTCAGAGCATGCCATCATCCCTCAGCGTGGGCTTGAAATCATCCAGATAAACATCGAACAGCAGCGAGGCCAGGGGAGGTGTTTGGGTCACTGGCTCCTGCCCTGTCCAGGGCTCCCAGCCTGAGGCTGCCTTGTCTCTTTTTTAAAGTGTCAGGAGTTGCTGTCCCCGCTAGCACCACACAGTCTTTCTCCTGGATTGAAGCAGAGGGTAAGAGGGACTCACTTCCCTGAGGGAATGGAACCACCTCCGGGGCCTCCAGGGCCTCCCTGGCCTGCACCTGAGCCGATCCCAACACATCCTCCCCCTCCAGTCGGCCAGGGACCCCCAGAATGGAGGTCCTGACGGAGACAATAGAGGAGGATGAGGCGGCTGAGTGGGAGGAGGCGGCCGAGCAGCCTGAGAGGTCTGAGAAAACGAGGCCAGCCGAGGCCCAGAAGGAGGAGACCACCCTGTCGCCCGAGATGCTCAGAGACCTGGAGAGGAAGCTGTCGGAGATCGAGGTCCCCACCCCAGCGGATCACTGGTGAGTGTGTCGGGGTGGGGACTTCTGACCCAGCAGCAGCCCCGGCACAGGCAGACGGGGACTGCCGCAGGAAGGGCCAAGCACCATGGTGGCACCTGGGGCTCTGCTCTCAGACTGCCTGGCGTGAGTCCCCACTTCGCCCCGACCCAGCTGTGTGACCTTGGACAAGTCACTCAGTCTCTCTGTGCCTCCGTCTCCTTTAACAAGGGCAGGTGCTAACCATGGTGCCGGCCCTGGGTAGTTAGTTGTGAGGTTTACATGAGGAAGGGGAAAGTCCATGGCAGCTCGCATGGATCCCCCTGAGGGCCAGGAGAAGCCCCTCCGACTGAACGCCAGCCCTGTCGTGACACAGGGCCTCCTTCTCCAGGGACGTGGACACTATCGACCTCTCCAAGCTGCCTTTGACCTACAAAACCAACACGCCCAGGGAGAAGCTCCTGCTGCAGGTGGCGGACAACTTCTCCCGCCAGTACAGCCACCTGTGCCCCGACCGCATGCCCCTCTTCCTGCACCCCCTGAATGAGTGCCAAGTGCCCGTAAGCCTGGGTCCCCGAGGGCAGGGCTGGGTCGGGGCCCAGGGCAGCGGGAGGTGGGTGGGTTCTCCAAGGTCTGGGGGCCACCGCACAGAGCTCCTGTGGGCGGGGTTTCTAGTCCCAGGGCCGGCCCTGGAGCGMAGTGGCCTGGAGCTTGCAGGCCTGGCCCCAGGCAGCCTGAGGCCTGGGGTGAGCAGGTCCAGAGGAGGGGGGAATCGGATTTGGGTGGGACACAAGGTGAACATCGCCTGGGGTCTGTGGGACCTGCTGGCCTGGCCGGGTCACCTCCGGACRATGCCTTGCTCCTCTGTCAACAGCTGGAGAGAGCCAGGGAGGTGCTCAGGGTCACAGGGCTGACAGGAAGGAGCTGTGGCTTGGGTCCTGGGGCCTGGCCTTGACCTCGTTGTCTTCTTTCCCTGCCTTTCCCTGGGTGGGGACAGCCCCGGGACTGGGGACCATCCTGAGCTCTGCCCGGAACCTCTGTAGGCCCTGGGAGGAAACCTGATCTCCCCCTTCAGCCCTACTTGCTGGGTCGCTTCAGGCTGCTCGCTTGGCCTCTCTGGTCCCCTTTGGTGCCCCGGGGGTTGGAGGAAGGCATTCCCTCAGCCTTCCCAGTCCAGATGCGGAATAAGCTTGGGCCACCCCAGTGCCACCCATGTGGGGGGCTCCTCCCGGCCACTGAGGGCTGGCACGTGCCGGGCCTGGGCATCGCCTTCCCAGCAGGCCACCCGCCATGACTCGCCATCTCGGGGCTGCGGGCCTGGCCTCCTGTGTGCTCTGGCTCCAGGGTCTCCCCAGGCACAGATCTCCCGGCCCCCCTGGGCCTGGCCCAAGGACCGTGTCTCCACTTGCAGAAGTTCGTGAGCACGACCCTGCGGCCCACGCTGATGCCCTACCCCGACCTCTACAACTGGGACAGCTGTGCCCAGTTCGTCTCCGACTTCCTCACCATGGTGCCCCTGCCCGACCCCCTCAAGCCGGTAAGTGCCACTCCCGGCTGCTTCCAGAGGCCCAGGAGGCCTAAGACAGGAGGCCAGGCAGGGTCTGAGCGAAGGAGCCTCAGCCAGTCTCAGGCCACAGCTCCTCAGAGAGTCCCGAGGGGGAAGCAGGCCCAGAGAGGGACAGCCACTTGGCTGAGGGCGCACAGCAAGCTGGGTCTCCTGGCTTCTCCTTTGTCTCCTCTTCCTCTTTCTGCCTCAGAGTCTCCCTCTTCATGACTTTAGGAGGTACAGAGAGCAGTGGGGGGGCCCAGCTTCCAGGGACCCGCAGCCCCATCTTTGGGCTTCTGACTAGTTGGGTCAGCTTCTCATTGAGAACGGGGCGAGGCAGGAAAGAGGCACCTGGGCACCGACGGGGGCCGTGGCATGGGGCGGAGGAGGGCAGAGGTGCCCGGCCGTGCTGACCGGCTGGCGGTGGCCAGCCCACCCACCTGTACTCCTCCACCACGGTGCTCAAGTGCCAGAAGGGCAACTGCTTCGACTTCAGCACGCTGCTGTGCTCCATGCTGCTGGGCGCCGGCTACGACGCCTACTGCGTCCACGGCTACGGCTCCTGGGACCTGTGCCACATGGACCTCACGCGGGAGGTGTGCCCGCTCACCGTGAAGCCCCAGGAGGTACGCCCGGCGCCGGCGGCCGTGACATCCCGAGGTGTGCCTTCCCGGGACCGTGATGCCCTCCTTAGAGAGCRCGTCCTTCCCCAGGCACAAGGACACGGCTCCATCGCCAAGCCCCTAGTCACTTCTCTGTCCTTAGCACCCAACTCTCCAAACCGACGGTCCCTTCCCACTTGTCTTCACTCTGTTTAGGCTACCGTGTTCCCGCTGGGGACATTTTTTGAATGCCACGTGGTTTCCATCTGGGGTCATTAGTAGAAATCCAGCCAGTCGATGGCACAGGGGGAAACCGAGACCACAGGCTTGGCTCTCACCACTCCCCGCCTCAGCTAAAGAGGCCTCTTTAATAACTAGACCAACAAACAACAGCAGGAACCACGCACAGCCCCGCCCGGGGCGCGACTCCATTCTGTGTCTGTTGACTGATGGGCCACAATGGAGGGCGCCAGGGGAAACGCCCTGAAGTGGATTTCCATGATCAGAATCTCAGYGGCCTCTCTCTGCGCTGGGAATCTAGTCCTCCTCCAGACAGAAGGTGCCTTAGGCGACCCGGGTGATTCTGCCATCAGGGATGGGACCTGGGGTCCGAGAGGTCCAGCATGATGCTGGGTACCTGGGCCACACCTGGGGGAGCACCTGGGGGTCCCAGGCTCTGCTGAAGGAGGCGAGGAAGAGGGGCGGGAGGAAGAGGGGCGGGAGGAGGGCCTGGTGGCTCGGGCTCTGCTCCCAGGGGAGTGGAGGCTGGAGCCTGGAGCTTGACTTCAAAGGCCTCTGAGCCCACTTATGGGCCTCTCGCCCTGGCCAAGAGTTGTTTTTTTAATATATTTTTTAGTTGTTATGGACCTTTATGTTTTTGATTTTTATGTGGTGCTGAGGATGGAACCCAGTGACTCACACACGCTAGGCCAGTGCTCTGTCAGGAGCTGCAGTCCAAGCCCCAGATTTTAATCATCAAAATTAGATCAATCAATAACAGAGAGAGAGAACTTTCCGGTCTCTGCCACCTCCCTGTCGTTGATGTGGCTGCTCCTCTCAGTAGCCCCGTGGGACGGGTGTTATCACKGTCATTTCAGAGATGAGTCTGTTGGGACCCACAGGGAGGTGAAGCAATGTGGGGGAGACCAGGGCCGCCCCCGGGGCTGCCTGCCTCCAACCCCTGCGGGGTCCCTCTTTATTCCCCAAACCGTCTCAGGAACTGCCACAGCCCTGCACTGTCCCTGCACTGTCGGTGGCTGGAACACTTCCTATCTCCTAGCACTCGCTTAGACACACACACACACACACACACACATGTTCACACACATATGCCACGCCCTCACACCTGCATGCACACAGACAGTTGCACCAGAGTGCACGTGCTCTCACCCTCGCACAGGCGTATGTATGCACACGTGCGTGCACAGCCTTATGTATGCACACGTGCGTGCACAGCCTTGTCTTTTCCTTCTTGGGCTGGCCAACTCACACTTTGAGTCAACATGTGAAGCCCTCTAATGGTAAGATCTGAACCCCTCCCCCCACTTCCCCACCTTCTAGATCAGATCCAGGTCACCCTAGGCCGGCGGTGGGTGGGGAAAAGGAGAAGCTCCCACCCCTCAGCTCCTGCCCTGWGGGCAGCAGGGTTGCAAGTTCAAGGCCAGCCTGGGCAACTTGGCGAGACACTAACAGGGACGGGGATGGAGAGAACCCCGGGGTCCAACCGCCAGCACAGACCGTGGGAGAGAGGAAGGGAGGGAGGGAGAAAGAGGAAAGAGAACGAGGAAGTGGAAAGGCGGGCCACACTCCTTTCAGGACACACCCCAGGGACCTACCCTCCCTTCCCCAGGCCCCACCTCCTAATGGTTCCACCATGTCCCAAAGCACCACAGGTTGGTGACCAAGCCTTTAACACATGAGGTTTTGGGGGACATTTTAGACCCAAGGTAGAGCACCCGTCAGTCACCATCTGATAAAATCATCACCCCCCTTTGACTCGTGCATCCTTTAGAAATGTGGATCGTTGGTTTGTGAGATTAATTTTTCCTTCCTTCCTTCCTTCCTTCCTTCCTTCCTTCCTTCCTTCCTTCCTTCCTTCCTTCCTTCCTTCCTTCCTTCTCTCTCTCTCTCTCTCTCTCTCTCTCTCTCTCTCTCTCTCTCTCTCTCTCTCTTTCTTGGAGTGAACCCAGGGACATGCACACACTAAGCATACGATCTCCCACTGAGCTTCATCCTCTTTTAAAAACCTCGTCTTGAAGAGCAGAACGCGTGCCCGTCTTCAACACCCAGCTCCATGAGCCCCCCTGGTCCCGTGCACCCAGATCAAGAAAGAGAACGTGCCCGCGCCCCAGGAAGCCCTGTGTCCAGTTACTGGTCCCCCCTACCCCGGGCACTTTCCTCTCTCTACTTCTCAGAAGGAGCCAGGGAGGAGGTTCCCGGGGCTCTTGCCCACTTTACAGAAGAGCTGAGATCCGGAGAGAAGAGAAGACCCCCCAGGTTCCCAGAGCCGGAGCCGTGGCTCCCCTGCTCTGAGGGCCACAAGACCCACAGCCGGAGGGACAGCTGTGAGCCCTGGTCGCAGGGCCAGGGGCTGAGGACCTGGGGCCAGAGCAGAGTGTGTGTGTGTGTGTGTGTGTGTGTGTGTGTGTGTGTGTGTAAGAGAGAGAGAGAAGGATGCACATCAGGGCTGCTGACTCTGCCTCTCTCCTGCGTGACAGACGGTCAAGAAGGAGGAGAAGGCGCCCCCTAAGAAGTACGCCATCAAACCCCCCCGGGACCTGACCAGCCGCTTTGAGCAGGAGCAAGAGGAAAAGAGGCAGCAGGAGATCAGAGACCAGGAGGAGAAGCTGCTCAAAGAGGCCAAGGAGCGGCTCCTGGTGGGTCCCTTCAGCTGGTAAACCCTGGGAGAGCGACAGAGCCCAGTTGGTGAACCACGGATTCAGTGGGATCCTTCCATTTTGTCATTAAAACACCGAGCTTGCYGGGTACAGTGGCGCATGTCTGTAATCCCAGCAGCTTGGGAGGCTGAGGCAGGAGGATTGAAAGGTCAAGGCCAGCCTCAGCAACTTAGCACTGCCCTAAGCCATTCAGTGAGACCCTGTCTTTAAATAAAAATATAAAAAAGGACTGGGGATGTGGCTCTGTGGTTAAGCACCCCTGGGTTCAATCCCTGAAACTGGGGTGAGGGGGACCCTATCTCCTGCCCGTTCCCCAGCCCCAGGGAGAAGTCTAGACCCCTAGCTCCTCTTCCCACCCTGCTGGTCAGTGGCCACCCATCTTTCTCATGCAGGAAGAAACAAAGGTGAAGCCTGACTCCCTGCACGGCCTGCGGGTGCACTCCTGGGTCCTGGTGCTCTCGGGGAAGCGCGAGGTGCCTGAGACCTTCTTCATCGACGCGCTCTCRGGGCGCAGCTACAGCCCCCAGGATGAGCACTTCCTGGGCATCGAGAGCCTCTGGAACCACAAGAACTACTGGGTGAACATGCAGGACTGCTGGAACTGCTGCAAGGTGACCCCCGGGGCAGGCCCCCCATGTGTGGCCAGCACAGCCTGCAGGAAGGCTCTCCCCACCCCTGGGCTCCCACAGCCCACGCTCCTGCCCAGGGTGCCCGTCCGCTTTCCAATACTACAACAAAATACATGAGATAGAAAAACGTTTCAAGGAGGAAAGGTTTATTTTGGCTCATGGTTTCAGAAGTTTCAGTTGATGGTGGCCAGGCCCCGTAGCTTTTGGCCTGCGGTGGCACAGCACATCATGGCAGGAGTGTGTGACGTCTGTTCTCCTCAAAAGGAGGCAGGTGCTCGAAGTGGTGCCGCTGGCCTGTAGTCCCAGCGACTCTAGAGGCTGGGGCAGGAGGATTGCAAGATGGAGGCCAGCTTCAGCAACTTGGCAAGACCCTGTCTCAAAATGACCAGAAGGGCTGAAGATGAAGCTCAGTGGATCAGAGCCCATGGGTTCCACCCCAGTACCCAAAACAACCACAGCAGAAATCCCTGAAGATGTAACTCAGAGTGATAGGTCACAGGCTTATCATGTGTGTGGCTCTGGGTTCAACCCCCGGCAACACACACAGACGCAGCAGAGGCCGAGAGAGAGAGAGAGAGAGAGAGAGAGAGAGAGAGAGAGAGAGAGAGGAGAAGGGGCCACATCCCTTTCCAGGACACCCTCCCCAGTGACCTAACTTCCTTTCAGGGGGTCCAAGCCTTTAACACACCAGGCCTTGGGGGACATTCAGACCCCGACCAGAGCACCCGTCAGTAGCCATTCTGATAAAATCATCATCTCCCTTTTGACTCCTGCACCCTTTTTTAAAAAAATATTTATTTATTTTTTTAGTTTTAGATGGACACAATATCCTTAGTTTATATTTATGTGGTGCTGAGGATGGAACCCAGTGCCTCATGCATGCTAGGCAAGCGCTCTACCTCTGAGCCACAACCCCAGCCCCTCCTGCATCCTTTTGAAATATTGATTCTTGGTTTGTGTGATTCACTTTCTTTCTTGTGTGTGTGCGTGTGTGTGTGTGTGCGCGTGTGTGGTGCTAGGGATCGGATCCAAGGCCCTGCACAGGCTAAGCATGTAGCACTGAGCCACATTCCCAGCCCCTGGATATTTTCAGACCCTGTTGAAGTAGAGCAGAATGTGTCCTCCTCTTCAAGGTGGAACTCCATGAGCTCCCATCGACAGAGCCCTGGTCCCCTGCACCCAGATCAACAAAAAGAACACTGCCCACACCCCAGGGAGCCCTGTGTCCAGGGACTACTTCCCATAAATGAATGCATATATTATGTAACTGGCACTCACACACACACACACACACACACACACACACACACACACACGAGTGTGCAGAGGAGGGCGACGTCCTAGGTGTACATCTCATTGAATTATCGCACCCTGAACACTCCTGTGTAATCGGGACCAGCGTCTCAGAAGCCCCCTTCCTCTCTTCTCCTGGTCACTAATTCTTCCACCCTCCGGCTCCATGGTACASCACTTGCTTAACGTCGTCATGAAGCCCTGGGTTCGATCCCCAGCAAGGAAAAAAAGAAGTTCATGCAAACCAACAGCCCACATTCCAAAAGGAGGCACAGATCAAAAGGGAGACGATGCTCTTGCGGGCGTGGTGATTGACGGGCTGGGCGGTGGGCTGCGGGGACTCGGCCATGGTGGGGTTGGGGTGGATGAGCCCCCCTTGATTTCAAACRACACCCATTAGTGTCGCCTGACTTTGGACTGGGTGTCCTTGAGTCCTGCCKCGTCTGCTCTTGATGCCTGGAGTCTTCCCCTCTTGGTTTTGTTTGTGAGGGTCATCGTTAGTGTGTGCAGCTGTGGCTTGTGAGTTCTCATTTGTCTCATGGATTTGTCATCCCCCGAGCACACCACATCTAATTTTTCCGTGCTTGAGTTTCACATTTAGATCATTTTCAGTTTGGAAATATTTTAGACCGTGTTGCTCTGAATATTTTCCGACCCGCGTTTCGGTGAACATACGTATCACTTCTGTTGGCTGAACACACAGGAGCGGGGTTGCTGGGTGACAGGGGGTAGTTGATTCTGCCCATTTTACCAAAATGACCGCACAGATTCCGCTGTCCCCAGCAGCGCAGGAGGTTCCAGGAGCTCCCCCGACATAAGTCCTGATCCTGGGTATTTCCTATGCTGCTCCCTTTGGCTGTTCTAGAATGGTCCTGCATTTACCAAATGCATTTGATATTTTTCCAACTACCCTCATACCCAGCAAGTTCGAAACCTGCTTATTAATTTAACATGAATCTGTAGAGACGACTGGGAAGCAGTGGAAGTGCAGGGGAAGGACCTCTGTGYGGGAGCAGGTGTGGGGGGTGTCACGCCCTGGAGGGCTTCATGTMCCTGGCTCCCCACTTCCTGCTCCTCCCTTTCTCACACCCTCCCTGCCCCTCCCCCACTGCCCCAGGAAAGCTCTTTCCCCCACCCTGTCTCTGCCTCAGAGCTAGGAGCTAGCCCACCGTGGACAGAACCTTCTGGAACTGTGAGCCCATAGAAATCCTTCGCCCTCTGAGTTGATTTTCTCAGAGGTGGCAGGTGACTGACGCAGAAGGCCAGCACATGACCTCGTCCCCTTAGCAGGAGTGGGACCCTTTCTTAGTTTTTCTGTTTCCTGCTCAGCACTTGTTTCAAAGTTTCAAAGTCAGAGGCTGCTGTCTGCCTCGGACTCCAGGATCCCTCACCCCTTACAGACCCACGTCCCCAAGTGACACCTGTTCCCTCGTGGGAGAATTTCCTGGGTCTCCCTTCCCAGGACTGGGATCGCTGAGTCCCGGGGTTTGTTTGTGTGTCATTGAGCTGGGGTCTGGGGTGAAGCTGAAGTGGCCAAACCATTTCAGTCCATCTCCCTCCGACAGCGAGAGGACCCCGTTGTCCCCCCGCCCGCCCCCACTTCTGATCTGCCKGCTGGGGAGGGCGGAGGGGGGCTGCGCTCCTTCCCACTTCTCTGTTGAACGGACTTGGGGTCTCAGGTCCTTTTGAACTTGTTGGGTTTCCTCTTCTGTAAATTGTTCACTTCCATTCTTCCCCCTTTCTATTGTTGCTGTTTATTATAGACGAGTCCCTTATGTATTCTGGATACMAACCACAGGYCACTTTTAGACATTACCGACGCCATCTTCCATTCGGCCACCCRTCTGTCCACTTGGCGCGTGGCCTCCTTTCTCGAGCGTGTGTCTTTCATTCTGATACATCGGGGTGCGACGAGGAGTGTGGGGTGGCCTCTCAGAGCTGCCCRGAGCTGCCCAGTCCCCCCGCTGTCCTCTGGGAGCAGCTGTTCCCATGTCCCCAGGGAGCAGGGGGAGGCACGGGGCCGTGGCTCACTCGGCTGATTCCCTTCCCTCATCAGGATTTGGTCTTTGACCTGGGAGACCCTGTGAAGTGGGAGTACATGCTCCTGGGGACCGATAAGCCTCGCCTGTCCTTGACTGAGGAAGAGGATGAGGACTTTAACGATGAAGATGATGTGGAAGCGCTGGTGAGTCTCAGTGGCCCGAGGCCAGGGGCCGGGGTGTGTGTGTGGGGAGCTTTGCACCCTGTCRCTCAGGCAGCCTCAGTTTCCCTGAGAGCATGAGTGTGCGTGGGGTGGGGTGGGGGGCACCAGGCCAGTGACAGCGTCTTCAAAGCAGAAGGTCCTGGGACAGGGCCCTTTAAGATGGGCAAACTGAGGCCAGACACATTCAGTGAGCCTTCCAGAGACCCTCCCCAGGATTAGGGGGGACTTGAACCCTGGTCTCCCKCCCCCTACAGTCTGCCCTGTTCAGGGCTCGTCCTCCTCCTTGGAGAGCTGCCCCTTAGTGCGGGGCCATAAGGCCTCTTCCAGCCCCGTGGAGCCCCAGGGCCAGCCGCCCTCCACTTCCCTCCCCAGGAGTCACTGTGGCCTTCTGTCCCTGTCAGTCTTGTAAGGTCACGGGCCCAGGGCCTTCCCCAAGTCACCAGCCTCACCTCCCTGATCTTCCTTCAGGGGTCTTCCGGGAAGGTGTGCATGATCTTCCCTGTATTTGGAGGTCAGGGGCCCGGGGACTTCTTGTTGGCTGGGACCTTGGGCTAACCTTCCAAGGCCAATAAAACCACTAAAAMCCCCGGTTTCCTCACCTGTATGTTCAACGGGGAGAGTGAATCAAAGCCATATCCATAGGAACAAAAATAAGTGCTCCAGTCTGCTAGGGCTGCGTGACAAATGGCACAGACCAGGAGCTTGAGAAACAGATGCTGTCTCCCCTTCTAGAGGCTGGAAGTCCAAGACCAAGGTGCCGGATCAGGGGGGTTTCTTCTCAGGTCTCTCCTGGGTTTGAAGAGAGCTTCTTCTCCCTGTGTTCTCACATGTCCCTCCCTTTGTATGAATCTGTCCTAAGCTCACTCGCTCTCTCTTTTTTTTTTTTTTGGTACCAGGATTGAACCCAGGGGCACTTGACCACTGAGCCCCATCCCCAGCCCTATTTTGTATTTTATTTAGCAACAGGGTCTCACTGAGTTGTTTAGAGCCTTACTTTTCCTGAGGCTGGCTTTGAACTTGTGATCCTCCTGCCTCAGCCTCCCAAGCCACTGGAATTATAGGCATGTGCCACGGTGCCCGGCCTAATCTCTTCCTGTAAGGACACCAGTCATATTGGATTAGGGCTACCCCATGACTTCATTTAAACTTTTTTTTGGGGGGGAGTACCAGGGATTGAACCCAGGGGCACTCAACCACTGAGCCCCATCCTGAGCCCTTTTTTGTATTTTATTTAGAGACAGGGTCTCACTGAGTTGCTTAGCGCCTGCCTCACTTTCCCTGAGACTGGCTTTAAACTTGTAATCCTCCTGCCTCAGCCTCCCGAGCTGCTGGGATTTCAGGGATGAGCCAGCGTGCCCAGCTATCATTTAACCTTAATCACCTCTTTAAAGGCCTCATCTCCTTCCCACCGGCATTACCTGTTTCCCCACATCCTCGTCAGTACAGTAATTTTTGCTGTTCTGATTGTTGTAAAGTGGCATCTTGCTTAAATTTTACATTTCCTCCATTTTTTTATCTTTTGTTTTTCTTTAGTCAGTCTTCATGTAGTTCTGCTGTCAGAATCCACCTCTAGTTCTGTCAAGTCTTTCTTCTTGACCAAATTTGATTCCTCCTTTCACCTTAACTTTATCTTCGTTGCTTTTTTGTGTTTATCTAAGATAAGCGACATCTTAAATATTTACTTGTTTTCAGTGTTTATTGTTTACTGATTTAAAGTATTTAAAGATAGGGCTGGGGATGTGGCTCAAGCGGTAGCGCGCTCGCCTGGCATGCACACGGCCCGGGTTCGATCCTCAGCACCACATACCAACAAAGATGTTGTGTCCGCCGAAAACTAAAAAATAAATATTAAAAATTCTCTCTCTCCTCTCTCACTCTCTCTCTCTTTTTTTTTAAAAAAAGGATTTTCTTTTAAAAAAAGTATTTAAAGATACAAAAATTTCTCTAATTACTCTTTTAGACATACTCTGTAAATTTTGGCTGATGGTATTTTTATTCCTACTTATAACTTCTTTCATGATTTCTTCTTAACCCAAGGATTTATTTTTTAGATATTAAGTTGGCAGGTGTATGAGTTTTTACAGTTTCTTTTTTCTTGCTTTCTTTTTGCGTTGCATTCTGGTCAGAGAACGTGATYGGCATGATGTTAAATGTTTTAGACTATCTTGATGCTTTCTTTGTGGCCTGATATGTGGTCAGTTTAGTGATTGTCTGCATTTGCCCTTGAATGTCTATTGAGTGTCTGTATTGAGGGTAAATTTCTCTACAGATTAGTATGTTTAATATTTAATAAAATATGTCTGTATATTTTTAAAAAGACCTCATCTCCAAATACTGTCATCTTCTGAGGTCCTGGGGCTAGGACTTCAGCATGTGGGTTTGGGGGGACACAGAGCAGTACCCACAGCCACAAACCTCACTCAGGCCCTACCAGGAGCATGCCAGGTTCTGTCATAGGGACTTGAATTCACTCATCTAAACCTTCCTAGCCACCCAGCGAGGTGGGGACAGGTTTCATCCTCCATACTGTTGCTCCCTTTTACATACAGACTTGAAGGAACTTTCCCCAAGGGTCACAGAGCTGGGACTTGAACCTAAACAATCTGGCTCCAAAGTCAGAGTTTCATCAATGATTCTCCTACTTCCTGGTGCTGCGTGAGAATAAAATGAGCCACTGGTGGGATGTGCTGGGCACAGTGCTGAGAATGAGCCACTGGTGGGACGTGCTGGGCACAGTGCTGAGCCAGGCCTGGCCCTGTGTGGAGTCATCTCTGGAGATGGGTGCGGGAGCCTCCCTCATGCAGTGAATCCTGGGCACCAGCTCCCCCTGCTGGTCATGAGAGGTGGCGCAGCCCCTGCCCCGGGAGCCGGGCCTGGAGACCAGAGACCCTGTCTGTCATGGGACCAGACTCCTCCGTGGCCAGGGAGCCCCTGTTCCTGGCAGGCCTCTTAAGAGCACTCAGCTGTGGGTCCCCAGGAAAAATCCGAGCCTCCAGCCACAGCCCAGTCACCTAGATGCCTCAGAGACTCCTGCCGATTCTCACTGCTGATGATTCTCCTATCATGTCCCCTGTGGAAAGTAACGATTAGATGACCAGGTGTCGGGTCTGAGCAATGTTCGTAGGATAAAAGTCATCAACTGAGAAAATCSTATCCGAGTTTCTGTAGCTGCCTCGTTCGAGGGCCATTTGTCTAGCCCAGGCCTTCTTTCACAGAGTGGGAAACCAAAGCTCAGAGGGAAAAGTCATCATGTCAGCAAGGTGGCGCTACAGCACTTGACACACATTGTCACCTAGTCCTCCCGAGTGGCTCAGCTTACAGTGAAGGACACTGAGGCTCAGAGTGGCTAAAGGACTTGCCCAGGACCCCTTAGTTGGTGTTAGATTGCAGTGTGTGGTGTGTGTGTGTGTGTGGGGTCTTGTGTGCTCCTGACACGAGCCGGTGGCTGCCTGAGCCTTGGCCAGGACAGGCGGCCTGCAGGGCCCAGCATCGCTGTCCTAAGCCAGGCAGGGGCAGGGAGGGCTCCGTGCYCAGAGCTGGGTCCTCCTCAGCTTCTGTATCTTGGGTCATGCTCCTGGCCCCTGGTTCCCCAGGGAAGCTGAGGGACCACCCTGGCTTGGCTGCAGTGGGGGACAGGGACAGGGTCTTTGCGGTAACCTCTGCTGCAAGGCCCTCAGCACCACCACCTGCCCCCTCCTCTCCCTGCAGGGCAAGGAGGATGAGGACAAGAGCTTCGACATGCCGCCCTCGTGGGTGGAGCAGATTGAGATCACCCCAGAAGGTCTCTGCTGTTCGCRGGTTCACGCCCCCTCTCCAGAACCAGCCCCTGGGACTCGGGGGAGGTCTGAGCCACAGCTGGGCAGGGCCACTCTGCAGAGGCTGCCCGGCCTCCCCTCTCCACCATGGCTCCCACCCTCCTTCCTTCCTGGCTCCGTGGCTCTGGGCATGACACCCACTGGTCCCTGAGACCCCAGGTGGAGAAGGCCAGGGGCAGTGCCCGCAGGTGGCGCAGGAGGCGTCAGGTCCTGGGAGGGGCAGGCAGAGAAGGCTGGAGGTGCCCTGTATCGTCACCTGATGACTGCTAGGTGCCCATCTGCAGGAGGACAGGTCATTCCAGCAGGTGGTGATGCTAGGGAGGTTGTCACGGGGACCAGGGCAGGAGCCCCCGGCCCAGCCCAGGACAATGGACTGGAGGTGGGCAGACAGAACAGGGTCCAGAAACAGGGAACACTTGGGCCAAGTTATGAAGGGTCCAGAGTGAGCTCAGCAAGGCTGGGAGGGAACAGTGTCCCTGGCAGAGGGATCCGCCCSGCCCAGGGCCTGGCGGAGGGCATGGAGTGGCAGGGATGCAGACTCCCGTCTTTGGGGATCTGTGCTCTGCCTGGCTGAGAACGAGCACCGGCTGGAGCCAGTGCTGGTGACCTGCTCCTTGGCCTCCTGKAGTGGGCAGGGTGGTGGCCGCAGATGGAGGAGTGCCCCTAGGTGGTGGCCCCCCTGCTCTCAGTCTGGAACGCTGCATCCACAGAGTTCGAGACCCGCTGTCCCAACGGGAAGAAGGTGCTGCACTACCAGAGGGCGCAGCTGGAGAAGTGGGCGCCGTACCTCAACCCCAACGGCCTGGTGTGCCGCCTCACCACCTACGAGGACCTCGAGTGTAAGAGGCCACGCCAGCTGTGGGGGTGGGTGGGGTGTCCTAGCGGGTCCCCCAACATGCTGTGTGGCCTGGGGCATGTCCCCTCTATGCTCACAGTGTGCATGGGCACCAGTGGACTCTGTGCGCTGGGAGTGGCGGGTTAGCAGCATGGAAGGCTGGCCTGGCTGCAGCCGGCACCCATCGGCCCCACAGGTACCCAGGTGCTGGAGATCAAGGAGTGGTACCAGAACCGCGGGGACAAGCTGGAGCTGAGGCACATCAACAAGAGCACGGGCCTGATCATCGACTACTTCAAGCCGGGCCACCCCCAGGCTCTGCGAGGTGYGTGGACCCCACTGCTGGGAGCCTGGGGCTTTGGGGAGGGGCCTTGTGCGTGCCTTGGAACAGCCTCCAGTTTTGGTGGCCAGCAACAGACCCCGCCTCTCCCTCCCTAAGAAACCCGGCTTGTGAGTGGTCGGGGGACGCTCAGAGCCCAAGGGAGCATGGCCAAGGCTCCTCTAGGGAGGTCAAAGCCAGGGCCGTGTGCCCAGTCAGTGGCTGGGATTGGGCAGAAATCCCAACACAGTGGGGGCCGAATTTAAAGGGGCTGAAGATGCTGAGCAACAAAACCAAGTTCAACTTTTCTGGAGCACAGTTGGGCAGAATATATTAATAATATATATTAATATACAGTTGGGCTAGAGGTGTAACTCAGGGGTAGGGCATGTGCTTAGCATGAGCGAGGACCTAAGTTCAGTCCTGAGCGCCAAAGCAATAATAATGATATTCAAAAATTTCTTGACCCAACAATTCCACTGCTGAGAATTTGTTCTTAGCAAATAATGAACAAGAACAAAACTGCATGGTGCAGAGGTTCATTATGATATTGTTTATAATTGCAAAAAAAATTGGACACAGCCTAACTACCCAGCAATACAGGATCGGTGACATAACACTTGCTCATCCATAACGGAGCGTTGTCCTCTTCCAGTGCCTGGGGTCCGGGTGCCGAGCCTAAGCTGGAGTTCCTGGTGCTCACCAGGCTCCCCCCACCCCCCCCCCAGTGCACTCATACAAGTCCATGCAACCCGAGATGGACCGCGTCATGGAGTTTTATGAAACGGCACGCGTCGATGGCCTGCTAAAGCGAGAGGAAACGCCCAAGACAATGACAGAATACTACCAAGGACGCCCAGACTTCCTCTCCTACCGCCACATCAACTTTGGGCCCAGGGTCAAGAAGCTGTCTCTGAACAGCACAGATTCGAATCCCCGACCCACGGTGGTAAGAGCTCGCTGGGCCTGGGCCGGGCTGCTTGCCCTCTGGCAGGCAGAGGTCGCCCGGGAAGGGGACAGCACTGGCTGTGGAGTGGCATCAGGCCCACGTTACTTCCAGGGCCAAGCATTTTACCAAATGCACCACCCCCAGCCATCTGGGGCCACCCGAGCCCTCAAGCCCTGGGCCAAGGCGGCATTTCTTTCCTCCTCCTTACAAAAAACAATGTGGGACTAAACTCCTAGAAACTATGGGAACAGAAACAGAAATGTAAAGGGAATGTCTTGCAACGAGCCCTCGATGCTGCTGTGGATCCAAGGGTTTGGTCTTTTTCTCATTTAACTGAGATCTGGGTGGGATGGGGATCAGAATCCTGGGATCAACCTGTTTCCCTTGAACTCGGCATTTTTCTCCAAGTCGTTACAATTTATTTGGCACCTGAGGGAGCTGGAGAGGGGTCCAGGTCCATGTGAGGCTGGAGTGGCCTGCCCTGAGAACTCTGTGGGCCATGAGTACCCTGTGTGGCCACCCAGAGGATCCAGACCCAGTGTGTCAGAGTCCCCGGCTCCTGCCGCCGAGCATCGGCGGAAACCCCTTCCTCTCACCCCCGCATGTTCTGGCCTCACAGAAAATCACTGAGCGGTTCCACCGCAACCCCGAGAAGCCCGCGGACGAGGACGTGGCCGAGCGCGTGTTCCTGACCACGGAGGAGCGCATCCAGCTGCGCTACCACTGCCGCAGYGACCACATCACCGCCAACAAGCGCGAGTTCCTGCGGCGCACTGAGGTGGACAACAAGGGCAACAAAATCATCATGACCCCGGACATGTGCATCAGCTTCGAGGTGGGCTGCAGCCGCGGAGGGGGGAGCAGAAGGACCCGGGCCCCGGGTCCCCTTCCAGCAACCTGGGGGACCAGGATGGGCGCTTTCGAAGCCCACCTTGGAAATTCATCTCTGCCCTTGCGAAAATTAAAAGCTTCCATCTGGGGACCCTTCCCCTTGCAGCTCCCCTGTAAATCTTCTCTTTTCCACCAAAATAGAACCCAGGAGGCTGAGAATGCTCCTCATGGTCCCCGTCCCCCCTCCGCCCCCCAGTCAGAACAGATTCCAGTATGACTCCTGCCACCCATGCTGGAAGGGAGAAGGTTCTCATCTCCTCTGAGGATTTCACCGTCAGTAGTCAAATCCACACCCTCCTGGCATATCCCTCAGTCCCCCACATCTTCAATTCCTCTTCCATTACTATCTGTATATTTGTAAGTGAGGAAACAGATCCAGAGAGGTTCATCAACTTGCTCCAAGTCACACAGCTAGAAAGAAGCGGGAGTAGATTTGAACCAAGTGGTCCCATCATCCTCACCATGGCAGCCTCTCTCTCACGGTGGTGGTTCTGGTCCCAGGTGGAGCCCATGGAGCACACCAAGAAGCTTCTCTACCAGTATGAGACCATGATGCAGCTAAAGAATGAGGAGAAGCTGTCCAAACATCAGGTCTGGGAGTCCGAGCTGGAGGTGAGTCCCCGTGGGAAGAGTGGGCGGGCGGGAGGCAGCCGGGGTCTTAGTCATGCCCTTCGTCACTTCCCAACTCAGGTGCTGGAGATCCTGAGGCTYCTGGAGGAGGAGGAAGAGGCGCACACGCTGACCATCTCCATCTACGATACCAAGCGCAACGAGAAGAGCAAGGAGTATCGGGAGGCCATGGTGAGCAGCCCTTCCTCGCCCAGGCCTGGGCTTTCCTGGACTCTCTGGCCGCCAGGGTGGTGAGGCCCATAGGGAGTCCGCCACGAGCACTCCAGGAGGGGTGAGGTTCTGATACTGTGAGATCACCCTCGCCACTGAGCTGACCCCATGAGTCACCCCCAAAAACATTTGGGATCCAGGCCAGGTCCCCTCACCCAGGGGCTGTGCCCAAAGCCAAGGCCTGTGGTCATGGTGGAAGAATTAGGATGGCATGCCCACCTCCACCTGGCTTTCTCCAGGTTGTGGCTGAGCTGGTAGCCCAGGGGTAGCCGCTGGCCCCCCAGGTATTTAGCTCGCACTGCCAGGCTRCAAGGCCCAGCTTGGTTTTCAAAGCCAACTTCTAAATCCTCTTCACCACCCAAGTCCCAAGTGCAGATTTCTAAAAACAGTTTGGGCTTGGCGAGGCAGGACACGCCATCAGATGACCATTCTCAGATCCCCAGAGGAGAGCTCGGCCCCCATGTCTCCACCTTCCCTGGTCACCTCTGCAGGGCATAAGGGCCAGGGTGAAAGGGAAAACTGAAGGGGGCAGCTGGCATTCCCTATGTCATCGGTAAGCACCGCCCTTCATCCGACAAGCATCTACTGGATCCCAGGCACCAGGCCATGTGCTTTATAGGTGTGATGGCATCTGAATCCTCAGAGGAGGAGCCTGAGGCTCAGGTAGAGATGTGAATTCACGTCAAGAATAGAACTAGATGTTACTATTAAAGATGGCTACAAGAGACTGTCCCGTTTCAGAGGGGCAGGCACTGGGACCTGCCACCCTGCTGATAGAGCTGGTCAGGGGTCGGGGAAGGCTCTGCTGATCCAGCCGCGCCTCCCCGCCACAGGAGCGGGTGTTGCACGAGGAGCACATGCGGCAGGTGGAGACCCAGCTGGACTACCTGGCCCCATTCCTGGCCCAGTTGCCCCCGGGAGAGAAGCTGACGCGCTGGCAGGCCATGCACCTCAAGGAGGAGTGCCTCGGCGACTTCAAACAGAGGCTCATTGACAAGGCCAACGTCATCCAGGCCCGCTTCGAGAAGGTGGGCCAGGCCGCAGCAGGGAGGGGCCTTGGCATCCTCGTCCAGCCGGGGGCTCTCTGCCCAAACCTCATAGATGTGTGGGGGACCGACTGTGTCGGTGACATATTTCTGGATGGCTGAGCTGATCCTGKCACTGGTTTACTGAATGGATGGATGGATGGCAGATGGATGGGTGGGTGGCACATTATCATAACCAGCCCCTGACCCATTTCTGTTGGGTTGGCACACAGGCAGCATCTCGCTTAGTCCTCACACAGAGCTCCACAAGGAGCAGGGAGAGGTGTCCCTCGTTTTGGAGACAAGGAATCAGAGGCTCTGAAAACCTTGTCCAGAGCCATGGGGCCCTCTTGACCCTGCTCTGACCTCACGAATGTGAAACAGCTCTAAACATGACCCCAGTTCTTCCACCCAAGACATCTCAGGGATCCCTGCCTCTGTCCCTCTGACTCTGTGGGCAGGGACAGTGGGGCCACCATCCGTGGGGCTGCCTGGTAACCAGGGGGATGGCAGCCCGGGGGAGGGTCCACCTTCACCATCCCGCCTACTYGTTTTCCTGACCCTCAGGAGACCCAGGAGCTACAGAAGAAGCAGCAATGGTACCAGGAGAACCAGGTGACGCTGACCCCGGAGGACGAGGACTTGTACCTGAGTGAYTGCTCTCAGGCCATGTTCCGCATCCGCATCCTGGAGCAGCGACTCAACCGGTGAGGGGGCAGGCCTGGAGGACCTGCAGGGCCGGGCCTCYGCTCCGTGGTCCCTCACCACCTCCCTGTGTCCTCAGGCACAAGGAGCTGGCCCCACTCAAGTACCTGGCGCTGGAGGAGAAGCTCCTGAAGGACCCCCGTCTGGCGGAGCTGCTGAAAGTCTTCATTTGACATCCTCGCGGGGCCCTGCAAGGGCCAGGGGAGGGACACCTCGATGGCGTGAGCCCCGTGCTCCCTGAGCAGGCTCATGCCTGTCTACTCAGGGCCTGGCCTCACGACTGCGGCCGCCCCCTCCTCATAGTTTCTGTGAATAAACACTTTGAATTTGCCTTTGAACTCCAGGCTTCAGCCCTGTCCCTTTTCCTTTCCTTTGGGTTAGTCAGCTTCTCGCTGCTGTGACAAAATACCTGAAGAAACGACTCAGAGGAGGGAACATTTATTTTGGCCCGTGGTTTCAGTCCAGGGTGGGCAGGCTCCATAAATCGTGGGCCTCAGGGAGGGAGCCCAGCTGCTCACCCCACAGCAGCCAGGAAGTGGAGAGAGGGGTGACAAGGACAGGACATATGACACAAGGGCTCTCCTCTCGTGGCCCACTCCCTCCAACTAGGTCCCACCCCCTCCAGGTCCTACCACCTTTTGATCATCTGCTCAGCCATGAATCCCTCAGTGGATTGATCCACTGTGAGGTCAGAGCCCTCATGACCAACCAGTCCCCAAGGCCCACCTCTGAACCCTGCTGCATCAGGGACCAASCCTTAAAAACAAAAGCCTTTGGGGGACAATCCAAATCCAAACCATAAAACCTTTCCCTACGGCCTGGGACTGCTCCTTGGCTGCCTTGCTCTTCTGCTTCCTGCCCTCTGTTGGAATATCAGGGGTCCCACAGCCACCTGCACACAGCTGGTTAGATCTCAACACGGTGAGGGTGGACCTGCTTACAAAGTGCGAATGGCAAGACCAAGGCCCATGCCCAAGAACCAAGAGTCCGGGGATTCGACATTAGAGTGCAAAGGATTCCGGTTCCTCCTCTCACCATTTACCCGGCTGTGAAACGGACGCCACTGTTGCTTTAAATAAGACCTACAGAGCAGAGAGGGCTGGGAGTGGCACATAGCAAGCACTCACTAGGACAGCTTAAAAAATGGCCAACACACACACACACACACACACACACACACACACACACACGAAAATGTTTTAAAACTCATTAGTCAACAGGAACGTGAAACGCCACTACACACCCACCAGCATGGGCTGAGTGTTGGTGGCATGAGAAGCACTGGACGGACTCTCATATAAACACCTTTCCTAGTGAAGTGTCAATCAGTCCGATCACTTTTGGAAAACCATCTGGCGTTACCTACTAAAGCTAAACTCTGGCCCAACAATCCCACCGGTAGCATCCACTCAACGGGGCTGCGGTATTTTGGATCGATAGGACCTAAAGGCCATGCGCTACGCCTTGGTCCGCAGGGTGGCGCTCTTGGGAGGTGATGGAAGCCTTAAGGGGCGGGGCCTAGTGGGAGGTGGGATCTCCACCAGGGGATTCTCAGTCTGCAAAACCTCACTGACCTTATAACACGTGCTTTGGGGTATGTGTACTGTAAAAAAAAATGTCTTTAAATGCATGGCATGAATCTGTCAAGTTTTTAGAACTAACTTCCAGTTYACAAGAAACTCAGGGGAGGAGGGACAATGTAAGTGGCAGTTGAAAGAAAAAACAACAAATCCAATACATGGGGTCCCTTATAAGGAAAGGGCTTAATTTCAAGAGATTAATGTCATTAAAACAAATTAAAGATTGGGGGATGAAAACAGAATGAATTTAAAAAGAGCCAAGTGTGATGAATCTTGATTGGTTCCTGGTGAGATTTTTTTTTTTTCAGTGCTGTAAACAGTTCTCCTGCTAGATGGGGGCTCTAGGAAAGAGCTACACCCCCAGCCTGGTTCCTACAGAAAAGAAAAAAGTTTTTAAATATACTTGAGGGATAACTGAGGGCATCAAGTATGGACTGGCTGTCAGAAAATTAATTTTCTTAGGGGTGGTGATAACAACGGTTATGTTAGAATAACAGCCCGATTTTAAAGACCTACATGTTTGCTCAGTATTCTAAGTGTCAGGATTGAAATGTCACAATATTTACAATTTCCAACGGGTCCAGGAAAAAATACACAAAGCAAATATGGCAAGATGTTAACAAGCGTCGCAATGTACATGATGAGTATCATGTGCTATATTTTCAAGTTTTCTCTAAGAAAAATGATTTTTCAAAGTTACTATTAAGTTTTGCCGGGCACAGTGGTACATGCTGGTAATCCCAGCGGCTGGGGAAGCTGAGGCAGGAGGATCCTGAGTTCAAAGTCAGCCTCAGCAACTTAGGGAGGCTCTAAGCAACTCAGGGAGACCCCATCTCTAAATAAAATATTTAAAAAGGGCTGGGATGTGGTTCCGTGGTTCAATCCCCGGTACCAAAAAAAAAAAAAAAAGATATATTTTTTGGGGTATTAAAAAGCGGGAAGTGGTGCACACCTGCAATCCCAGCGATCCCAGAGGCTTGAAGCAGGAGGATCATAATTTCTAGATCAGCCTCAGCAATTTACATAGACCCTCAGCAACTTAGCGAAACCCTGTCTCAAAAAATAAAAGGGGCTGGGTGCAATGTCCGGTACAAAGTAAAGTAGGGGAGTGCAGGCGGTAACTTTCATTCGCAGTTATTCTCCTAATCCAGCCCTCTCTTAAAAATCCCCAAACTCCCCTCCGGATCAGCTTCCCAAAAGTACCACGTGACGGTGGGTGGACTCTCAGCTTCCTGCGCTGGCAGAGGGGGTCCTGTACTGAGGGGATCTCCCAGGCTTTGACTTTAAGAACAAGGATTCGCGTCCTGGGGCCATTCTTTTTGGATGCGTGGTCTTTTATAAGCACCTTAACCTGGGCCTCAGTTTCCGCTTCTGTAAACGGGTAATTCCTACCCCTTGGGGTTGTGGCCAAGCTGTCCCGACCGGAGGTGCAGCGTGGAGGATAAACCAGGCGGTTCTAGGGTCTTCAGGCACTCGGTAGTTAAGGCCTTTCCCTGAGGGCATCCCGCATGGACAACACGCTGCTGCTACTGCTGCTACTGCTGCTGTTGTCCACTCATCCAACCGGCCCGGGGCTCAGGTTGAGGGGCCCGCACTCCCGGGCTCCGCGCCTGACTCGGACCGGGAATCTAGCTCTGTTTCGCTCCAAGTTTCCCGCGGGGAACTCAAGGCGCCGTTTGGATCAAAGACGCAAAGTCTTCAGATCACTGCGGCACTGCCCGCAGGGAAATGCATGGAGGAGAACTACTGGCAAAATGCTAAGTCCTCCGCTGGCTTCGCCCGGTTCCAAGATGGAAGGGTCCGCGGCTTCAGGCTGCTCTCCAAGTTCCCTTCCCATTGGCTACCGCGGGATTGGTTTTTTCCAATAATGTGGATGCTGATTGGTCTATCCAGGACGGTTGCTAAAGGGATTGGAGCGACCGCCATTGGAGGCGACTCGCAAAGTTTTCAAACGCAACCTAGGTTGGAGGAAGAAGAGGAAAGGGAAAACGTGAAGCGAAGGCGGGTCAAAGAAAATGGCAGCCCGCGTTGGTATAGTAGAGACCAAAAGGCGTCTCTTGAACCCTCCCTCCTCGTGATTAGTCCGATTCAGGAAAAGGGGGCGGGTACTTAAGAAAAGCGGCAGAAGCGCCTGCTTCCATTGGGCAAACTTGGTAGAAGGCGGAGCGTCCGCGGCGGATGATTGGTGTGGGAGGCGGGGTGGGCGGGGTTCTGGGCCGGAGGTTTTGTTGTGAGGGTCGGTTGTCAAGCAGCGGCCAATCAGGGTAGGGGATGGAGGCAAGTGGGGGTCGCGCCTGGAGCAAAGCCTCGGCCTCCGGAGCAGCTGCTGCAGGTAAAGTGGGCAAGGGAGCGCGGAGGCAAGGGCAAGATGGGCCCTAGGCTGGGCCGAGCCCGGCAGGGCCGGTCGAGCTGCTGGCAGAGGGCTCAGGGCGGGGGATCCTGCAGCCGGTGCCCCGCCAGCCGAGAGGGGTGGGAGRATCAGGCGAACCCGATGGACCAGCCCCAACCTTGGGACGAACGGGGCCAGCTGGGAGGCCGGAGGGGGAAAGCTAGGGAGGCCGGAAGCAGTGTTGGGGGTCTGAAGGAGGATGGGTAATGAGTAGGGGCACATGAAGCCTAAGAGCGAATGAATGGGCGGCGCTGGTGGCAGCGGAGCAAGGGAAGTAAAGTGGATCTGGTGAGGTGGGGACCAAATTAGGGAGTTCAGGAGGTAAGATGTGCTCGAATGGGAGACCCAGGAGGCAGGAGAAAGGGAACACAAGGGAGAGGGTTCATGGGAAAGAGGCGAAGCCGCTGTGGGAGGCTTTAGAGTTGAGGAGTCATACCTCTGACGCTCTGATGGAGGCCTACTTTCCAGCTCTGCCCTTGGGGATTTCAGTGGTCAGGAGAGGTTCCCTTACCAGGAGCTGGGGGATTGGACCCTCAATCTCCTTTTTGGGATTATTCCTAGAGAGGACCTTGTCAATGGCAGCCTCTGGGGTGCCTCTCCTGGGCCCCTAAGCTTAGCCTCTGACTCCACCCTCCATCCTATACGTCAGGTGAAAACAGTCATTCCCAGAAATTTAGACACGTGGTCTTCCCCGCCTCACTGCAGCTGCTGCACTTCAGGCAGCCAGCAGTCCTGTGGCAGAGCTGCTGCCCATTATCACAGCTTCTGGGAGGGCCTTTCTCCCTGTGCTCTAAGTGGCCTTGCCTGAGGTGCCCCTTCTGCAAATCCTCAACAACAATTTGCAGTGCAGCTCCTGGTTCTGGTTTGCTTTGGTGCGGGTCAGTTTTTATCAAGTGGCCTTGGTGATCCAGGGGGCTGCAGCTCTTCCCAAATGTTTCCTAACACACCCTTACCTCGGTTTGTATTCCAGCCCACTGTTGAGCTGAGATGGCCCATGCCTGATATTCCATGATCTGGGATCCTGACAGATGTGCAGAAGCTGCTGCTATTGCTGCTGTGGATGAGTTAAAGACRCCAGGTCGTCCAGGGCCAGGAGAGGAGACATTCCCTCTGCCTGGATGTGTGTCAACTCTCTGCCACCTTGATTGGCGGATCTGGGGGGGATCCACCCCCACCCCAGAAGAAGGCACAGTCCATTTTGTGG